CTTGGATTGACATCAGTTTAAAACATAAAAATTTTGCAGATCTCTCCACGCCAAGGCCTTTTAAGGGTCCGCGAATTTACACTAGCTGAGATTGAGCACTTTGTGGATCCTGAGGACAAGTCTCATCCTAAGTTTTCTGAAGTTGCGATGTTGGAATTTTTGATGTTCCCAAGAGAGGACCAGGTGTCGGGGCAACAAGCTAGGATAATAGCTATTGGAGAAGCTGTTTCTCAGGTTGGTGTTGTTTATACCTGTCTAGGTTTTTCCTTTATAATACTCTTGAAATCTTGTTCTCTTTGCTGACAAGAACTCCCAACTTTGTGTTGCTTAGGGGATTGTCAATAATGAAACACTGGGTTATTTTATTGGAAGAGTCTATTTATTTTTAACTCTACTTGGAATTGACAAAGATCGCTTACGATTCCGCCAACATCTGGCAAATGAGATGGCACACTATGCTGCAGACTGTTGGGATGCTGAAATTGAATGCTCATATGGTTGGATTGAATGTGTTGGTATTGCCGATAGATCTGCATATGATTTACATGCTCACACGGTAAGAGTTCAGTTGAATTTGCATACAGCATGGTTCTTATACTATATATTGGAACAGAGAATCTCATTGATTTTCTAAGAATATGCTCCTGTCCATATTTTTTATTGCCCAAATGAATCTCTTTGTGGAAGTGACAGTAGTAAATACTAAATATGTTTCACTTGATGACTGGTGACATGGTAATAGGACATTTATGCTCCTCCGCGGTAGATGCTATAGTGGAGCGCGTGACCATATTTACTTCTTTCATGCAGGATAAAAGTGGTGTTGCACTGGTGGCACATGAAAAATTTCTGGAACCCAAGGAAGTGGAGGTCTCTCTCTCTCTCTCTCTCTCTCTCTCTCACATACGCGCGCGTGCGCGTGTTCACATGTACATACAACTCATAGTTATAATAATTTTCTTAATTGTTGAAACTAAATATCTAATGTTATTTTTATCTTTTTCAGAAACTTGTTATAGCTCCAGTGAAGAAAGAGCTGGGTCTTGCCTTCAAAGGTAACCAAAGGATGGTGGTGGAAGCACTGGAGGTAAAACCACCTTTGAATATTAGATGTCTATTAGGCTATCTTGTATGCAATCAGCAGTCCTGAAGTATCTCAGACTTGTTCTTCGTTTAAATTCTCTTCTCTTTTTCTCTGCTTTTACGTGGTTGGAGATTGTGGAAGGCGACTCCCCCTCTTGTCTAGTAGCTATACTCTGGTTTTAAGTTTTCAGAGAAATAAGATAAATTGATTATTGTAGATTGATGCATGTTCTTGAAGATGCGGAAGGGATGGTATTATATGTTGTTGACCTTGGGGAAGAGGTTGGAGAGTCTAGATTTTGTATGTAAACTGTTTTCCTGATTGCATGTATTTTTAGCAAAAGTATGCATTGAGTGATTGGGGCAAGAATTTGCGTTTGTGAATTGGAATGTGTCTGTGTATACAACTATTGGTTGACTTTACAAGATTTATGAATTTGCTCGTTCCTACTTTAAATAATAGGCCATGGGGGAAAAGGAAGCTATGGAAATGAAAGCGACTCTGGAAGAGAAGGGACAGGCGGAGTTTCATGTCTGTACTCTTGACAAAGTTGTGACTATAATGAAGAACATGTTGTCAATCTCCAAAGAGAAGAAAAAGGAACATCAAAGAGTGTTTACACCGTCAGTGATTGAACCGTCATTTGGTATTGGAAGGATTATATACTGTCTGTACGAGCATTCTTTTTATACCAGACCTAGTAGAGATGGAGATGAACAGTTGAATGTCTTCCGTTTCCCTCCACTTATAGCACCAATCAAATGTACAGTATTTCCTCTGGTACAGAATGAACAATACGAGGAAGTTGCCAGGCATATTGCCAGGTCATTGACTGCTGTTGGGATCTCCTATAAGATTGACATAACAGGTATGCTCCATAATGATCTACAGCAAGTGTTCAGCATCTATACGTCGCAATCCATGTTTATTTCTAGGTTTACCAGTGAGGTTGCTCGTTCTAGCCCACCCACCCTCCATTTTCTGTTCCCTCTTCTCGTTCCGTCCTTTTGGTTAAGCATTCTTGAATCCTTGGAAACTTGCAGGACATCCTATTGGGATGACTTGGTACCTCAAGTCTGGTTCGCAATAAGTCTACAATTTATTATAATCTTTGCCAAATGGGGACTCAGACTCGTGTACTTAGTTTGAGGAGAAAAGGAGTAACAACTGGGTGTATATGACCCCTTATAGGAATCCACCTCGTTAGTAGCATACTGATATTTAAATGACTAGTGTTTGTTCAACTTTTCAATGACAGGAAATATTCTGATATATCAAATTAAAAGACCAGCTGTTTCTCTAATATCTTCTTCCTCTCTTAATACATCATAGTTTCTCAATTCTTCGACAATCTTGTCTTACATCCTTTAATGCTTTTGACTCTGTTCAGTCCGTATAGTCGAGAGATGAATAAGGCCTGGACGACATTAAAGTCCCCCTTTGGCCACCATCAGCACAATCACTGCCTTGCTTCTCTTCTTCTTCCAGTGTGTGGCCTATCTTACAATGAACGATGCTTTCGTCTTTCATTCACACCATGCGCCAAATTGGCGTCTCATGGTGCTTCCTTTTTAAAACCATACAATTATTTCTCTGATTGACTATTGAAGGTATCAGCTATTCATATCTACAACATGATGCAGGTACATCAATAGGGAAGAGATATGCACGAACAGATGAACTTGGAGTTCCATTTGCAATTACAGTTGATTCAACATCCTCAGTTACAGTCCGAGAGAGAGATAGCAAGCAGCAGATTCGTGTTAGCGTGGACGAGGTGGCATCTGTAATTAAGGAGGTGACTGACGGTGTGAGTACGTGGGCTGACGTGTTATGGAGATACCCGACTCATCAGTCTTGAACGCTGATAAGTGAGTTTGAGGGATTATTTACTTGGCTTTTCAAAGTATTTAATGTTGTCATTTGAATATCTTAATACATCTTGTTGATACAGTTCACATCCACAATCGAGTACAACAAATGAATATTGTTGACCTTTTGAATGTTGTGTCGTGAATTTCATAGAAATATGCTTTAACCTACTCAATCTTCATTTGTGCCTAATTTACAAGTATATTAGGACTTTGGGCCATATGTGACTGATTATTTGGTAGTGTTTACGTGCTTATAAGTTGATCATACATTCTTTAAAATCCTGAACTTTTATCAACTTTTTAGTCACACATTTCTTGAGACCGAACTGTTTATTAATACTAAACACTTTGCCAAACATGCACGCAATTAGAGCGTTTGTAGTTGGCTGGCCGAGTCGTTTGTCAATTCAATATGAACATCTTATTTGATTTAGGGTAACCGAAAAAACTTGAGTCTTTATCTTTTAATTTGAATATCTTTGCCAATTGCAATTTATTTTTCGTCATCAAAATAACATTGTGTAGTCAAGGGTCAAGCCAAATTTGTCAAAAAAATTCATATTAAAATCACTACCTAAATTTGAATTTACTTTTCTTGAACTTGAAAAGCTGTCATGGCCACAAGCAAATATTTGTCACAGCCCTAAAAGATAAAAATCGTAGGGGACATGAATTTTCAATTCAAATGCAAGAAATCAAAATCCAGAATAGGCGTGTGTGGTCCCTATATCAAATTGCATCTGTAATCTGTTAATACTAATTAAAGTGGGACCCTCTTTCATGTGCATTCTCTACCTTATATTGGGTTTCAATTTGAATAATCGATTTTGACCTATTATCCGTGTAAAATCGGATGTGGATAAGAAGCTAATTTGAATAATGTAATAGTACAAATGAAATACGAATACTGTAATGTCAAACTTAAAGTCAACAATGAATTGTTTCACTTATCCGTTATATTCGTCATGCAAAATAGTTGAATTCTTAGCAGTATTAGCATTTAAATGAAACCTGTGATAGTATTGGAGTTAAATCAGATCAAGAATCAAGAGGAGAATGGAGTTTGAAAATTTTTCATCCAGACCCCTTGTTCATATTGACGTTCATTTTTTAAATGAAATCATATGTAAAATTTGTGTAAATTCTTAGAATTTAAGTAAATCTTACAAGTTGACATAAACTAAATTGGCGGTTTAAATGACATGTTTTATAAAATTCAGTGATGAGTCTTAATCAAATTAAAGTTCTGTGTCATAAGTGAATCAATGTAAAGTTCAGTAGCCACTGGGGAAATTAACCCCATATTTTATGTAAACTTGCATGTCGGGGAGAAGTGACTTTTGCGCAAAATCGCGTGAATTTTCATTTTCTTCATAACTTTCCAACTTTATCACTTTATTTGCCGAAAATGAGACGTGAATCCAATCGTTTCACACTACCCTATCGTTTTTCTAATTTCCAAAAGAACAAAGAAAAATGATTTCCCACATCCTCATCACAGGCATGTTTGAATCCCATTTTTGTCAAAAAATACATTTTTGAACACTGTATTTACGCAAAATATGTGGTTAAAAAATAAATTTTTTTTTAATTTACGTGTAATATTATTTTATTAAAAAATGTGCTATTAAAATTAAACTGTTAAAAAATGGCTCAAACAATTTTACGAGAAATATGTGGTTAAAAAATAAAAAAAAAATTTGAATTTACATGTAATATTATTTTATTAAAGAATGTACTATTCAAAAACTTTTCAAAAAATGGCTCAAACAAGGGCACATTTGTTGGACTAGACAACATATAAAATATTCGTCCCATATCATTTTTTATTCACCGCAACATTCTGAAGAAAGCTTTTGAAAATGCCGAACAATTTGAATGGAGCTAAGCGTGTAATGTTAAAAGTATCACAAATGAAGTTGGCAACATGATTAAGTTAAAATAACAAATACAATACTAGTTCATTCTAAGAGATGATTGAACATAAGCATAAAATAAATTTATGTTCTCTAATTAACAGATGAAAGAAAAATGAAAAACTTCTACTTCGCAGAGGATTTTTTGTCAAGTTGATGTCTGAATGTTGGAGAAGAAGCCAATGGAAGTACCTGTGATTCTTTGTTATGGCTCTTATTGATAAATGACATAAAAGAACCATTCTTTTCATCTTCGCTCAAATTTCTTGAATTTCCAGTCTCTGAAACTCCGTTCATATTCATTGAGGCCCTTTTTTTCTCAGCTTCTTCCATTAACAATCTTCTAAATAACTTGTCTTCTGCATCTTTCAAGAACTTGAACTTTGGAGGAGGTGAAGATCTTAATCTATTAATTTCTGCCTCTGATAATGATTCAAAAAGGGGATTAAAACCATGGTTATAACAAGAATCAAAAGCCTTAATTGAGGGTGAAGAAATAGGGGTTAAATAAGGTGTGCCAGTTTCATCTACACCAATAAAAAGATCGCTCAAACTTCTTGTTCTTGATCCTTTTCTGCTACCCCTTGTTTTGCCATCATCAGACTCCAAATCCTCCTTGTTTTCTTCTTTGATTGTGAAGAGAAATCTTGGGGGCCCACAAAGATTGTGGAGCCTCATTAGTTCAGTTTCAACCCCATCTTCACCATACCCTTTCAATAGCAAATCTTTGCTCGATCCCAATTCAAGGTCAATTTCTTCATGCCCATTTGTGGATTCTGCTGGATTTTTCACTGAATTTGTCTGTTCTTGGCTACTGTTTACAAAATTAGGCTTCTTCCGGTAAAACATAAAAGAAAAACTTTCAATTTCTCCACTACTAATTGTTATTCTCTTCTTCCACCATAGCAAATAATATAGCTCTGCCAAAAGCCCCATTAGAATAAAACCGAAAACAAGACTCAACCCAATTCCTAAGCCACTAAAAGATCCCATTTTCCCCTAAAAACCAGTTCTAGATTCTAACATTTGTGTAGCCCTTCAAAATACTGTATGCTAAAATCCCAAATAAACTTCAAAACTATATGCAGTTTTGCTAGAAGAAAACAAATTTTCTTGAATCCCTTTGATATATCGTAGTTTGGCTTGAAAAGCTAAGACCCAAGAGGACCTTGAAATTCATCTCCTCAAAATAAAAAAATTTCCGTCTTCTTGAAAGTCTCTCATAAGCTATACTGCATAAGATACAAGCTATGGACTGTGAAAATCTTGGGTGGAAATTAGAATGGAGAGAGAGGGGGTAAAAAAAAACCTTAGCTTGTAATTAAGCTCAGAATCTAAAGAAAAGAAATAGCTTAAAAAGAGAGAAAAATCCAAGTGTGAAAGGGTTACAGCAGTATATGATTTTATGTTGATTCGAGGAAACAGTCTGGACTGGGAAGTTCATGGTGATGTGTATGGGTGCATAGAGTGGTAGCAAAGGTCACATCTTCACTGGATGCCTCACATGGCCCGGCAAAAGCATTAATCTTAAAGAAACAAAACAAAATTGAAAAAGGTAACTCAACGAGAGAGGGAGGGAGGAGAGAGGGAGGGATTAGTTTTCAACATTATATTGTGGTATTGGTCGAGTTGGACATGATAAGATAGGACATAACTGATCAAAATCGAGTCGATTGCATGGAGTCCAACTACTTGAAACTTTCCGAATACGGATGTCGACTGGCCTACAATATATATTTTTTTTTTTGATACCCAGGTTTCCCAACTTACACCAGACTATATCATGGACCACCCAGAACCGGTGCCTCATCTAGGCGGAGGTAAATCGCGGGTTATGCCCAATCAAACCAGTGTCCATGCAAACTTTATACTCCTGACCCCAAGGGAGCCCTCCTACGCCGGATTTACATCACCGACCTGCTCCACCATATGGTTTGGGTATTACAACACTTGGCTGCTCTGTCCGTGATTCGAACTCCCCACACTGGGATTGCAAGCTCAGCCTTGCACTGTCTTTGCCATCTTGGATGTGCCCCGGGGCAAGACTGGCCTACAATATTTATTCTTACATTGTATGCACAATGCCTAGTGGTTTAAATTTTTCTGTTTCATACGTTCTGTGCCTAGCAAGTAGTGTTTCTAAATAAAACAATACTCAAAGTTGAGAAAGATATGAAAAAAAATAAAAAATTAAAAAACTGAATTCTATTTTAAAAATGAAATAAATTTTGGATATAGTCCCGTGTGGACGCTTGAGCACAGCCTATAGTTTTTTTTTTTT